AAGGAAAGGTAGGAGGAAAGGAGGAAGAAGATGAAGTTTGAGAGTGAACCCAGATCTGGGTTTGCAGAGGTAAGGGAAAAAGAAAGGTAAAGGAGAAAGAAAGTGAAAGAGGAAGAAGAGATGATGTGGATGGAAAAAAAGATATTAAAAATTTTAAATTAAATAAAAATGCCAACTAGGCTGGTCAACTAAACTTTTTTTTCCATGTCATTAATTAAACAAAAAAATAATTGATTTGCTGGCAAATTAACGTGCCACCTGTCATTTAACTGACGGAAGGACTATTTTGGTACCGAAAATGAAAGTTTAAGGATAAATTTGGTACTTTTTAAAGGTGAGGGACAATTTTGGTACCAAAGTGAAGAGTTGAGGGACCAAAATGGTACTTAAACCAACAATCTATTACAAAAATGTTTTTTACAAAAATAAAGCAAAAACTCCTAAGCTAATCTGCTGTGGGAGGAGGCTGCTCCTCAGCAAGAAGGGGTGGTGGAGGTGGCCCATCTCCAGCAGACAGGGGCGGCACTTCTGCTTCAGGAGGCCCCAGCTGCTGCACTTCATCAGAAGAGACTGGATGCACCTCGGGAGGCTGCACTTCGGGCAAGTATGCCTGATCCTTAGCTTCAGCTCCTCGCGCTTCTCCTTCTTCTTCTTCTTCCTCCATTGCCACCAGCTCCGCATCAAAGGCTGGAGGGAAGATAGTGCGTCCCTCTGCGTCATGCTCCCACCTCAGCTTGATCAGAGGTCGGAAGTCAGCAGAAAGGCTCTCACCATCCTCCTTCACCCCTTCTTCTTGTTCCCCAAAGGTGACCGTTGTCACGTCCACCTCTGGGTACTGGGCCTTCACCTTCTTTCTACAGTTGGTGAAGGCCACAATTGCGGTTGGTAGCCGGTACAGCTTGAGGATGTTCTCGAAGGTGCTGGAGTTGAGGAAGTTGTCGATGTGCTCCTCCATTCCGTTGTGAACCAGTAGATTCACGTTCTTCTTCAGCTCCGCCACTCCTTTCTTCATGTTGTCAATATATTTGTCTTGAGCTTTGAGCTTCTCCTCACAGATCTTCCTCTTACGTTCTTCAAGGACAAGCTTCGTACTCAAGACATCATTGTCATTCTGGAGCTCGGTCACTGAAGGGAGAACTTCATCCAGCCTCCTCTGCATCTCCTTCTTCTCCTTCTCCCACTCCTCCTTCTCCTTCTGTAGCTCTTCCCTCTCCTTCTGCAGCTACTCGCACTACCTCTGCAAGCTGGCACGATCCCTCACGCTCTCTGCGTACTCCTGCGCTAGAGCGTTTGTCCAGCTTGCACTCTGCAAGGCTAGTAGAAGTCAGACCTCAAACACAGAAGTAAGAAAGACAAAGAAGAATAAAATAGGAATAAGCTACAACTCCCTTACATACCTCCAGGGCATGCCTCACAACAGTAGCTCCTAGCTGGCTCACCGCCTCATTCCTCGCCCGCATCCTATCCACCTCAAGAAGAGTAGAGTTGAGGAAGCGCTTTGCCCCAGTCGTGTTTGTCGCCTCAAACAAACTCTTCTGGTTCAAATGAGGAGGGATGAGCTCCTTGCCCTTGCCAGGGCCTCGCACCTCGACCTCCTCCCTCTCCCTGACTTCATGATCGATTTCAGGAGCAGAAAGGCGAGGCACGAACTCAGTCACCTCATCCCCCCTCACCTCTAGTTCAGCCACCTTCCTCTTCTTTCTCTAGAGTGGTGCCACCTCCTCATTCACCTCCTCACTATTCCCCCTTGCAGGCTCTGGCCTCTGCTGTATCTCCAGCACTCGAGCAGAAGTGCTGGGCAAGCGCTCTTTCTCTGCCATCCCTTTGTCTGCCGCAGTTAAAGCTTTTGACTTCTTCCCTGGCTTCTTTGGGATACGCAGCCCCCCAGCAGCATTTATAAACTCGTCCATCTCAGCTGCAAAACAAGCACAAATGTCAAAACACACCAGCTAAAATCTAACCAAAGTGGCACAATATAAACATACACAAACCTTCGCTCAATGAGCTTGGCCCATAGAGCTCAGCGGCCTCTATTGCCTTCGGACTGGTGATGTACAGGATATCCACCACGTCTCCTTCCTCCCTCACCAGCTTTTCTACCTCCTCCACCTCATCCTCATTTAATTTATAGTTGTTTTGCTTGGTCTTCTTAGCTTTCCAAGCAGACAACCGTTCCACCTCGGCATCCCTCCTACTCCACTCGGTGTCATCCACAAAGAAGAATTTTTCTTTCCATCCTTTGATGGATGACGGTCCAACAGAGAATAAACTCCTATTATCTTTGCTGGACGACCGAGGACCGAAGTAATACCACCCCTTCTCCCCCTTACCCCCAACCCTTATTATGAAAAAGTGCTTGAACATGTTTACTGTAGGGACCCCAACCCCCCGAACTCGGCAGTATACAATAAAACCTATAATTACCCTTATGGCATTTGGGGTTAATTGGGTTAGTCCTATGCTATAATCTAATAACAACCCAACCAGTAATTCTGGAATGGGAAACCTAAGCCCTGTAATTAAATAATGGAGGTATATGGGCATCCAATGGTCTCGGGGTGCTAAGCATGCCCTCTCATTCACCCCGGCAGGTCTAAGTAGGACATGGTGAGGAAGGTTGCAGTTACCCACGAGGCCCCTAAGACTACCCCTGCTACCCAGCTCACTCACATATCCCCTCACCTCGGACACTATTTCTAAATCTGGGTCATAACACCCATCTACACTACTCCCGGCCTCCAAAATGTTTGAGGGGATCTCATCCTCATCCTCCTCTACTACCCTTTGATCCCTCCTCTCCTCCACCGTCCTCTCCGAACCAGAAGGAGATGGACTGCTCTCCTCATCCATGCTCCCACAATCCAAGGGCATCACCTCACTCCCCACTACACTCACGGTCCCTTCTGAAGACATCTCCTCAATTTTCTGCACAAGATAGGAGGAGGAACAGAGTCAAGACCCTTAAAAATGCTAACACACTCAATACATTCTCACCCCCAACAATAATTTCCTTCAACAAACCCCAAATCAACCACAGAAGGGGAGAAAGGAGAACAGCACTTCGACAAAACCAAAATCAAAAATTCATACACTTTACCTAATTTTGGTCTTGAAAACTGTTGTTGAAGTCTTGATCGAAGCGCAAACCGCATGAAACCGCAGAAATTTAGTAGAAATGTAGCAAGAATTTAGTAGCAAAATCGTGAGAGTAAAAACCCCTTTTTACAGAAGTCTAGCCTTTTATACCAAAGGCAAAATACACCTCAACGGTTGTGATTAACCCTATCTAATGGCTGCAGAGACACCGTTTCGAATTCGACGGTTAACCCCAAACGGTACCGTTTCGAACTCGACAGTTCGCTTTTTACATCTGCCCGTTGGGCTGTTACATTTATCTTTTTACAGCGGCATTTATTATGCACGTCATTCAGAGGACAACTGTCGCGTCGCATACCGCCTCTTTGTCAGACTTCTCAGATGGGCCCACTTAAGCCCATTTCAACACTCTTGCTCACTTTTATCCATTTTAAATTTTGCACAAAGTGTTTTACTTTGGCAACCGACCTGATGTCTTCGGTCACACGTTTTGCTTCGGCTACGGCCACAGTGACCCAGTGTCACACGTTTTACTTCGGCTCCGGCCACAGTGACCCAGTGTCACCCATTTTTACTTCAGCTACGGCCACAGTGACCTAGTGTCACACGTTTTACTTCGGCTACGGCCACAGTGACCCAGTGTCACACGTTTTACTTCGCTACGACCACAGTGACCCAGTGTCACACGTTTTA